TTTCTCAATGTAGCTTGTGTTCATTTTGATGTCACTTGCTGCAATAGAGTTCTTGGTCTCTATACCTAAATGAGATACGAGTGTGGGTACGACATCCTTCTTAAGTTTCGTACCGTTCTATTCCCTGTTCCTCAAAGGGTATAGTTCCTTTCATTTTCTTATTCTCGAGGTTTTGGCGCTATAGTAGTCGTAAGATTCTGGAGCCATGTAGAGGCTCTAAGTCAGTTGGATTCTTAGTCATAAGACTTTGATGTCGCTGGTTCGATTCCAGCAAGGGTCAACCTATTTCTTTAAGGTCCTAAATCGGTTGGATTCTTAGTCTTATGGCCTTGATTTTATTTAACAATTAATCTTATGATAAGCGTGGGTTGAAGGCGAATATGGTAACAAACATCGACGTACTGACGATAAACTATTCGAAGAATGTTAGGTTATCGAAGCAAGTTTTTAGTCGACGCTAGTCGCCGTTATCGCAAAATTAATCGTAACATTAAACCAATGCTTTATGTTATTTGTCTTGCGGTGGCTTTCTGGTCGTGGATCGAAACTGGCGCCACAGTAATTCATTTACAAATTAGCAATTACAGTATAAGTTAATCAACAAATGACAATATAACTGATAAGATATCGATTTTATTAAGGGTTTTCACTTTTCTAAAAATTTTCATCATAGACAGTTTTACTCGAATTCCGAAAGGAATTTTGTCAAAAAAAGTTTATTAATTATGACTTTTATATTATTTTTTTGTAAGTATTAGTTCTAATCATGTCGCTTCTACTCAACATATCCTATCTAGTCGTTAAATCATTTAAACTTTCTTAATTTATAACATTGATTTAACAATTTGTTTTTGAGTTTGACACTATTGATTAAAAATAGGACGTATATTCGGTTCCTAGATGAATCTATGTAATAATGTCATAATTTTTTTTTTAAAAAAAAAAGGGTTGGATCGAAACCCTACAGTGTTTAACATCAATTCAAAACCTTTGAATTAATATACTTTTGTTTAACTAGGTAATCGAGTATCGTCTACAATGTAAGATCGACATTAGTTTATGAATAAATATTAAATTTAGTAAAATATTATTTACCTCAACACTTTCTGTTAAATTTAGTTTATCAGTACGAATGTGAAGTTCTGGAGATGATGGTGGTTCATAGGGCGCTGAAATACCTGTGAAATCTTATAATTTCGGGTGAAAATGTGGACGTTAAAATTTATTAGATTTCATGTGTAAATCCATTTTACATTTATACAAAATATATATACTTTTAATTTCACCCATTTTGGCTCTTTTATATAATCCTTTTGGATCACGTTGTTCAACAACTTCGAGAGGTGCATCAACATAAACCTATAAATAATCAAAGGTATGCATATGAAAATATGTAGTGTAAGTTTTGTAAATTTTATAAATTTGTAAATTTATAACAAACCTCAATAAATGGAATTCCAGTATCTTCATGCAATTTTCTTGCGGCTTCACGATCAGATTTGTAAGGTGAAATAAATGAAGTAAGCGCAATTGTTGTAGAGTCTGCAAATAATTTTGCAACCTATTTATATAAAAAAAAATAAATAAATAAATATTTTTATTAAAAAGTGTAAAAACCAAGTCAATAAT